ATTTGTGGGGTTTTTATTTAGTACAGGGTCTCACTACACAGCTCAAACTCAGTGATCCTCCTGTTCGCAGCCTCCCCAGCAAAGGGATTACATGAATGCACCACCACACCTGGTCTCATTGGCTGGCTCAGTGTGTCCAGGAGTAGGGCCAGCACAGCTTGTACTGCCAGGGATCAAACTTGGTCCCTGTTCTTGCCTAAGAAGGCACTTAGTCTGCTGAGCTATCTCACCAGCCCTTGTTTTTTGTTTTTTGGGACAGGGTTTCACTATGTAGGGAGACCCTATGACAGGGCTGGCATTGATTTATGTAGTCCAAGCTGGCCTTGAACTTGTGATCCTCTGACCTCCTGCTGGGAGTACAGGTGCATACCACCATATCTGGTTGTAACTTCTCTTTAGGTTTAAAACTGACCTATGATAATGTTTCAAACAGTATCATCAATATGGTAAGAAAATATCTTGAATTGTCACCCTCTAACATTGAAATGTTGAAATGAAACATTAAAAATACTTTCATGAAACCGGGAATGGTGGGAGCATGCTTGTAATCGCATCACTCAGGAGATTGAGACTGGAGGATCTCTGGGAATTCGAGACCAGCCTGGGGGGTACAAAGTGAGCACAAACCCAACCCAAACTAAGTAGCGAGAACCTGTCTTAAAAAAAAAAAAAAAAAAGAATATTTTCAATGATACTCAATTCCTTCTCACCCATCAGCACTGTTTGTCTCATTTGTCTAAATGCAGTAAAAACATCAGTTGCCTCTGGACTGTGTACGAGAGAAATGTGTTCTTTAGCAGTTATGTGGACATCTTTTTTTTTTTTTTTTTTTTTTTTTTTTGCAGAACCAGGGATTGAACTCAGGCCCTTGCGCTTGCCAGGGAAGCACTTATTCTACTGAGCTATCTCCCCAGCCCCCTGAGCTATCTCCCCAGCCCCCACAGACAGCTTGTTTTGACATGCTAGACTCAAAGTTGGTCTGGTCTAAAGAGTTCTTTATGTCCAGATTAAACTGTTGTTTTAAGGGTTTAAACTGTAATAATGTGGGAGACGTTCATGAATTTTACCTGCCTTTCCTACTTAACCTTGCAATACTACAACACCTTAGCGCCCAGGGCATTTGTTTTAATTGACTGAGAATCACCAACTGTAGATGACCTGACAGGATTGAGTGGAAGAGCTACCTTACCCAACTGTGGTCTAATTCTTCTATTACCTGTTTCGTTATCTGCTAAAAAGTGCAAATGATAATATAATGCCCTCCTATCACAATGAAAGTACTTGCTACGCTCTACTTAAGCAAACTACAGTTTGATTGTCTTAACATATATGCTTAATCTACATCAAGATAAACCATATTTGCATACTGACAACTCTTATTGTAAAGCACTTTGCATGTTCTTAATCTTCAGGATTACAAAAAAGATCTAGTAGGCTTATTCTACAGAGCTTTTACTCAGTAAGAAAACTATACTTTTAAGATAAGTATGAGGCTCAGTGCTGGAGCTCCTAGTCACTCCTGTCCTGCTTGGATTCCTGGAGCCCTGTCCCTGTCACCTGAGTATGCACACGGCCTGACATGTGAGCGAGATGACCCAGGGCCCACTGGATCCTGATCAGACCCAGAGCACAGGCCTGGCACGTGAGTGAGAGGACCCAGGCCGCGGGATCCTGAATTGACCCAGAGCACAGGCCCAGTGTGTGAATGAGACCGCCTGGGGCCCACTGGATCCTCATTTGACACAGAGTGCAGGCCCAGCGTAGAAGCCTTCATCAGAACTCCCTGCAAGGAGGCTAGAGGCAAGACCCACCCAGCTGATTCAGGAGCAGAACATCTTGCCAGAGTGACACAAAGGGCTCAACTCTAGCAGCTGCAGCAGAAAGAAGTGGAGCACACAGCCAGAACCAAACAACACCCACCTGGAGGAATCTGAACTTCATAGATCCGGACCTGGTGCTAAGGTAATAACTCTATCTAAGCTCTACACCAAAGGTCAGAAGACAGTGGTATACAAAATG